AATAAAAAAAGATTGAGTCAAATGGAGATGCCTACATAAACTGAGAGAAAACACAGTTCATGAACTCTTCAGAAACCTGTAAAATAAAAATCCCCAAATGCTGAAGTATAGACTTTCCCCAAATCCTAATTTTCATTACTGTTTTTAGTGCTCTAATAGTAGAATCTCAGTAGCAAAGATTAGCTGAGAAAGGAAAAGTTTGTGGTTCTTTGGCTTTCTGTCAAATCTCAGAACATGCCAGACTCTCTCCTGTCCCAAACCTTTGTGACTGATGTTTCCTCTGTCTGGAGTCTTTACCTCACCTGTTCTTATAACTGGCTCCCTCTTAGCTTTCAAGTCACAACTTAAAGGTCAGTTCCTCAGAGAGACTTTTCCCAATCACTTTATCTGAAGCAATCCTCCAAACTCTTCACAAAAACCATTTCTTCCTTTCTCCACATAGTAAAAGAAGATATTAACATTTTAATCTCCATGTTTTTCTTTCGTTGCAATACCTCAGAACCCTTCTCTAGAGACCAAATGTGTCCAGGAGAATTTGGGTTCTTATAAAAGGAATGCAAAGACTAAAACAATATTCAGCATTTGTAACTTTCAAACTAGCTCTCAAGGTAAGACCCTGACAAGAGCCCTAAGCAGAACAAAGACAGATGAAGCAGGTGGGTGCCCCTCCACAACTTTCAAACTTCAGCTGAAAAACTCCTGACTAGGACATCGGATGGACAGAAAGGGATGTAGGCTGAAGAAGCTGATGGGAGGTCAGGGGCTGTGGGTGGGGGGAAAAGTACAGGGAGAGGAATTCCAGGAAGGGATCTGGTGGAGAATGAGCTTGTGAGAAGAGCCACTCTCCATTAGCAGCTGCCTGTGCAGTTCAAACACTGAACCTTATCCTACAGTCTCCCAACCTAACCTGTTCGCTGAGCGCACTCCTGTTGTCAGCAGCCCAAGACATGCATAAGCTCCCTCAATAAGGATGGTGATATCTTTGCCACCTCTCCCCACCCAGAAGGACAGTAGTGAGGATGGTGGGAAAGTCCCAGAACTATTACTTGAGTAAAGCTGGACAGCAGGAAAGCCCTTCTTAGTTTCCCCAATATTATTTTACTTATATTATGTAATTATTTTTTATAACTTTGAATTTACTTGTTTATCTCTCTCTGTAGTATAAATCCCACAGGAATAGAAAACCGGTTGTTCTTTACTCTGGTGTATCCTCAACATCTAAAGCAGGGCCTGGGCCTAGATTTGTTAAATGGATATATCAAAAGTAGTCTTAACTGTAGAAAATATGAATTATAGATTTTTCATCAATATAATTAATATTTCAAGTACTGTCCATAAAGTAACTCGGACTTACCTTTAAGGACTAGGAAGTAAAACATTTAGGAAAAGTTTTAAAGAACAAATTTATAATTGATAAGTCACATATATAAACATTTACAAAATTCATTTTGCTTTTAGGTTTTTTATTATCATAGTATTGTACTTAAAACTGACATATATCATTAAACTTTTTATCGTGGAAAATTTCAAACATATACAAAAGCAAAGAGAATTATATGTCTCTACAGTTTTTTTGTTTCCATTTTTGAAGATTATCATTTTTTGAAGATCTTGTGGAAGAATACAAACAGGTTTACACTTAATCATAAGTGTACAGCTCATTTAATTTTCAAAAACTGAACATGCCCACATAAAACACAACCTAGAAGTCCCCCTTATTCTCCTTTCACTCACTACCTCCCCAAGGGTAACAATTAACCTAACTTCTAATACTATAGATTAGCTTTGCCTGGTTTTCAACTTTATATAAATGGACTCATATAGTATATACTCTTTTTTTATTGAAGTATCATTGATATACAGTCTTAAATTGGTTTCAAGTATACAACAGTGTTTCAACAGTTACCCATATTATTAAATTCACAGCCCCTCTAGTGCAGTTACTGTCTGTCAACATAGAAAGATGTTACAGAATTACTGACTATATTCTCCATGCTGTTCTACTATCCTTGTGACCAACTTATGATTGAGAATTTTTGTGCCCCTTTATCCCTCCACCCTCCTCACCCACCTACCACAACCCCTCCCCCATGTTACTTCTCAGTGTCTATGAGTCTACTGCTATTTTGTTCATTTTGTTTTGTTTTAGATTTCACAAGTGAAATCATATGGTATGTCTTTCTCCACCTGGCTTATTTCACTTAGCATAATATCCTCTAGGTCCATCCATGTTACTGCAAATGGCAGGATTTCTCTTCTTTTTATGGCTGAATAATATTCTGTTTCATGTATGTACCACCTCTTCCTTATTCATTCATCTATTGATAGACACTTAGATTGCTTCCATAACTTGGCTATCTATTATAAATAATGCAGCAACAAACAGAGTGGTACATATATCTTTTTAAATTAAGGATTTTGTTTTCTTCGGGTAAATTTCTATAAGTGGAATTATGGGGTTGAATGGTATTTCTATTTTTAGTATTTTGAGGAACCTCCATACTGCTTTCTACAGTGGCTGCACCAATTTACATTCCCACCAACAGTGTAGGAGGGTTCCCATCTACATCCTCACCAACACTTGTTGTCTGTCTTTTGGATGGTGGCCATTCTAACTGGTATGGGGTGATATATCATTGTGGCTTTGATTTGCATTTCCCTGGTGATTAGCAATGTGGAGCATCTTTTCATGTGCCTGTTGGCCATCTGTATTCCTTCTTTGGAAAAATGTCTGTTCAGGTCCTCTGCCAATTTTTTAATCAGGTTACTTGGTTTTTTTTTTGTTTGTTTGTTTTTGTTTTTTGGTGTTGAGGCATATGAGTTCTTTACATATTTTGGATGTTAACCCCTTACTGGATAAATAGTTTACAAATATATTCTCCCCTAGTATAGATTGATTTTTTGTTCTGCTGACGGTGTCCTCCAGTGAACAGCTTTTGTTTAATGTAGCCCCACTTGTTCATTTTTGGTTGTTTCCCTTGCCCGGGGAGATGTGTCCAGAAAAAAATTGCTCATGCTTATGTTCAAGAGATTTTAGACTATATTTTCTTCTAAGAATTTTATGGCTTCATGTCTTATATTTTGTTCTTTAATCCATTTCAAGTTTACTTTTGTGTATGGGGTTAGACAGTACTATGTACTCTTCTGGGTCTCACTTTTTTCCACCATGTTTGAGAGATTCACTTATATTTGAGTGCAATTTTTGTTCATTTTCATTGGTGTACAGTATTCCATTGTGTGACTATTCCTCAGTTTATTTTTCCTGTGCATTTTACTGTTGATGAGCATTTGGTTTCCAGTTTGAGGCTATTATTAGTTGTGCCATTGTGAATATTGTATTTTTTGCCATTGTGAACATTCTAGTATTAATTGTGCCATTATGAACAGGTATTTTTGTCTATTCACATTGCTGTTAGGCATATATACACATGGAATTGCTGGGTTACAGTATTTGCACATGTGCAGCTTTTCTAACAGATACTACCAAGCGGTTTCACAAGGCCTACTTGTTTGTCCTCATGCCATTATCATATCATCTCAACTACTACAGCTTAATAGTAACTCTTAATATCTGGTACTGTAAGTGTTCCAGATTGGCTTGGGTCTTCCTGGTCCTTTGCATTTTTATATAAAAATTTATAAAGAGATTGTCATGGCTTTCTAAGTCCCCTTTAATCCATAAGCTTCTCCTTCTCTCTTTTATTTTGCAATTTATTTTGTTGAAGAAGTCAGGTCATTTGTCCTACAGTGTTCCAAACATTATAAGCATTGCTGATTGTGTCCTTATGGTGTGATTTAACATGTTCATCCCTGTATTTCTTATAAATGAGTTACATTTAGAGGCTTAACTAGATTCAGCAAACATGCATTTGACAAGCTGCCATGTGAGATACAAAAATTGTCTACAACATCGTTTCTAATCTACCGCTTCTTACAAGGATGGAATGTTAAGATTCAAAGGGCCTTTAAAGAGTGTCAAACACTCTGGCACTCAGATTAGAGTTAGTTCTAATGGGGGGGTGCGGGAATGTCAGGAATGGAAATGAGGGAAAGTTTTGTAATGGCAATGCCATTTCAACTGGGCTTGAAAGTTGCAAGAGCACTGTCAAGTTAGTATTGCTGTAAGCATCAATTGGTTGTGACAGCTGTGTGAACTGGTTAGTGAAGAGTGGAGAGGCTAGAAAGATGTGGTAGTGGGTCGAGTGGTGGCCCCCAAAAAGATACATCCACGTCTTAATCCCAGGAGGCTGTGCGATATTATTTGGGAAAAGTATCTTTGCAGATCTAGTAAGTTAAGGATGAGATGAGATCATCCTGGGTTACCTAGTTGTGCTGTAAATCAATGACAAATGTCCTCATAAAAAAACAGAGGAAGAAAAGACACACAGAGGAGAAGGCAATGTGAAGATGAAGGCAGAAACTGAGTGTAGTGACCACAAGCCAAGGAAGCTGGCCTCTGCCAGATGCTGGAAAAGGCAAAGTGTGAACTGTAGGGAGTACAGTCCCGCCAACAACAAATTGATACTGAATTTCTGGCCTCCAGACTGTGAGAGAATATATGTCTATGTACTAAGCCACTAAATTTGTGGTAATTTGTTATGGCAACCACAGGAAACTAATACAGGTGGGCTGGGGCTAGAATGTAGTATGATGAAATTTTACCTTACATGCACTAGGGAGCTTTCTCATCTCTGATACCTCAGTGTTTACCCATCTATGGTTTGCCCTTAGCTGAAACTGTATGGTAAAACAGATCTTAGTGCACTTGTTTGATAAAGCAGCCACTTGACTAAGGGATGCTCCTCCTGAATTCTCATTAAAGCAATAATAGGATTCAAAGCACTGTTTTTGACTCAGTCTTTGGTCTGCCACATCAGAAACCTAAAAGTACTTCAGCTAGGAAGTCACTATTCCTAATTGCACTCTTCCTTAAAGATCCCATAAAATAATGGAATGGAAAGCACCACAAAACCATCAGGAAAAAAAAAGTCTTGGCTTACATATAATGACCGAAGTACGCTGACAGTAGTAGTAGTAACTGCGCGTGTGTGCTGTGTAAGCAGTAGTTTCTACGCCGGGTTTGCAAGCCATGAAACCGTTGTTTTACTGTGGCCTGTCCAGTCTCTGCTTTGGTCTTTGAAGGGTGGCTGGCATCCCAGATTGAAACTGTTCCCAGGGTCGCTGGCCCGCTTTGGGGGGACCCAAGTCGTCCATCTTCTCCCGCTTCCACAACCATGTGGTCACGTCCCACTGCGCGCCTCTGGAGGGAGCCCGAGGGCTGCGCGACCGCCGCGGATTCGTTTTGTGAGCACCCCCCCACCCCCACCCCGTCTCGGCGGACCTTGTTCCAACACCTGCACGGCCGGGGAGGAACAACAATAGGGACGTCTCTGCAAACATGGCCTCTTGTGCCTTCTCGGAATTCCAGAGGCTCCTGCCCCACATACAAGAGCCAAGATAAACTTCACCCTTACATGTGCGCGCGGTGTGACCCAGCCGGGACCTTCCCCGCCTGGAAAAGCCTGGTTGCCGGGCTCTCTCGACTCTCGGCCAGACTCCCTCCGGCCTCGCAAGCTCTGGCCCGGGACACCCGCCGTCCGCCTCTGTCCCCGCCCCTTTGGGCTCCAGGCAAAACCTGGAGCGGCGGCCGCTCGCTGCTCCCGGGAGGCGGGCGGCGCGGAGCGGCGCTGTGGAAGGAGCATGCGCACTGGACGGGGCCGGCTCCCGGCGCAAGGAAGCATTCGCGGTGAACCTGGCGGCTGCGCTGGGGTATGCGGTACCGGCTAGCGCGGCTGCTGCACCCTGCGCTGCCTAGCACCTTCCGCTCCTTCCTCGGCGTCCGCTCGCCGGCCCCGGAGCGACTCTGTGGGTAAGCGAAGCCGGGCGCCTGGGCCCGCGGGGTCACGGTGGTTTGGAGCTTGGGTTGCAAAGTGGTGATTCAGCACTTAAAGCCGCCGCCGACGCCGCCCCTCACGCTGCCCTTCCCGCCGGCTCGGGGCCCGAACGGTCGTGCCGAGGCCGCCCCAGGGCCCGGAAGGGCGGCTCGCCAAGCGGGAGCGAAGGGCCTTGTCGGGAGAGGAGAGCGTCCGTCAGGCGGGTGAGGGCGGACGGGAGCTGTAACTCGGGGTCAAGGGGCATGTGTCACAAGTGCGGGGGGCGCGGGCGCGCATGGAGTCACCCCGGCCCGCTCCCAGGAGCCGCCGTGCCGCGCCGCTGTCCGGGGAGTCTACTCGTTGGGCGCCGGAAACCAGAGGCCACTGTCCCCTGCCACGCGGTAAAGGAATCCGTGTCTCGGCGAAACACCTTCTCACCCTTCTCGCAGCCCCTGCTTTTTCCTGTGGGGACTAAGTTTCCACTTCCATGTGGAAATGCCTGCGTTGGGAACCATAAAAGTTTGCTTGTCTCCGCCTTAGCAAGCGGACCAGTGTTGGGTTCCCTGTCCGGGGGGATTTGGGAGCCGAAGGATACCTTGGGATTCATCACAGCAGCGCCCTTGTTTTCACACCGGAGACAACCAAAGGCACAGAGAGATTGTGTGATTTGCTATCAATTGCGGAGGCTGTGGCAAAAACCAGGATTGGGACACTGATGTTTTTTTTGTTGCCATCCGGTGGCGTGCTCTCTCCACTTTCGTTGCTCTGTGTACTAGAAATTTTCAGCCTTGTAGTGAATAGAGAGCATCTGGCAGAGATGAGCAGTATTGTCTTGCCCTACTTAGGTGCGTCATTTGAATCCTTTCTCTGGTCTTAATAATATCTAGGACCTGCTGAGTGTAGGGCACTATGATAGACCCTTTGTAGTAAGTGTGTGGTTTGCCTTTCACTTAGTTCGAGAGGTTGTGGTGCACCCGAGTATTGCCATCTAAAAAGGACGGTTCAGAATGTTTGAGGATGGGCAGTATGGGCAGTGAGTGCTTTAGGAATACATGCAGGGCAGAAATAGAGGCAGAGATCTGGGCTGGATTTAAAGGAAAGGCAGAGGGTGTGGAGGGTGGGCAGCGGTGGGTGTAATACAGCCTCCCTGTGCAGGTTAGTCTGTGTTGAGGAGTCAGGGAGCAGGTTAATCTAGTTGGTAGCCTTAGAGAATTTCTGTCGGGGAGTTAGGAGGAAACAAGTCCTGTATTATGAAAGTAGGATAATGTTACCCATGGCTTTGAATGTTAATTGTTTTTTTTCCCAGTAAATAGAAGGTAGTGAAACATTAAGAACTTTTGAGGTTGGGACTGATTTCATGATACTGGTAGCTTAGGTTATTAGTTTGGTGACTGTGTGCATGGTATGAGGAAGAGGAAGACCTGAAGCAGAGAAACCGGTTGGGACTTTGTCTGTATTGCCTGAACTAGGATGATACTAATGCAAATTAACAATCTGTAGGATTTGTTTTTCCCTCCTCTACTTCCCACTGTACTGCAAAATCCACTACAACATGCAAAAAAGATCCCTGAGTTTACAGTAATGGGGCTGTCTGGCAAGCATAGGCTGGGCACCTCCCTGGGCCTCTTTCAGGTCAGAACATTTTCCATACTTAATTTGCTATATTTAGCTGCATTCTGTTTCCAGTGTACAGAATGTGTGATTTTAAAGACAGCACCAATTTTAAGTTTTATTCAACTAAAAGGGTTGTATTTCTACTTAAATTGGATTTTCTCTATGCTTTTCTCCCACTGCTCTTCACTTTTCATTGATGAAGTCTAGGACATGGTTTGAAAAACCAGAGCTTAGTGATAAGGTTGTTCTCAGGTAAATTCAGGAGATTCAAAGCATAGTGAATGATATCAACCATCTAGGAAACTGCATTAAAAGTTAGTGGTTGAGGCTATTAAGGAAGATACAGCTCCCATCAAAGGGATCAGGTTATAGGTTTAGGAAGGAAAGTACTAAAAACACTATCACATATTCAAATCTTAAGGAAGGTGATCAGTTCTACTGTACATAGTAGGAAGAACATGTTAACAGAGATAGTTACATAGTTATTTACTGGAAGAGCTGAGATTTACCCATGCCTGTACAGCACCAGAACCTGAGCTCTTAGCTGTTTTATTGCCTTTGCCAGTATTTGGGCATTCATTTCCTGTTCTAACTTCACGAGAAAGAAAATGGTCTTACAGCATTTGTATAAGGTCAATTCATTTTAAAAAGCAGCCACATTGTCCTCATTAGTCAGATTGGATAGCTGGAGCTGTGCATTACATCTGAACTTTCGGGGAACCTAGAAGTAATAGCCCAGCCCCTGGCAACCACCTGAAACATCTGGGATCAGTCATCTCACTATGTAGGCAGTTCTGCTTTGCATTTCTCTGTTTGACAGGCTTAGTGGTATGCTAGGTGGGACTAACTATTAAGATTCAGGCTTTTGAAAACTACTTTTAACTGGAAAAATGTCTTTCAAAAGTCTAAAAGAACAGGATGCCCTTGAGTATCTTTAATTATCATCAGCCCAGTTCACACAGTGAAAAGTTACATTCTGTCTATCTGACTTAAAGGTTAGCTAGCACTGGGGACAGTTTCACTAGGGAGTAAGTAGTGTGGGGAGCAGAAGTTCAGTATGTTGTTTTCATAAGAACTGGTTCCTTTGGGTTTTTTTGGTTGTTTTTTTTTCCTTTGGTTTTTTTAATTGGTATTTTAAATCTCCTAAAGAGGTGCCCAGAGGATCAGCCCTCCTTTCAGCCAGGGTGATGAGGCTAAAGCACCCTCCTTCCGCAGAGGTAAATCCTCTAGGTTTGTTAGGTTCTGGAGGCTTGGGTCTGGTGTTCCTGATTGGCTTGCCTTTAGTTTGCCCTCAGGCTTCTCTATGTGTTGGCTCAGCCATTATTTGAAGGTCTGTTCTGTAGTGATCGCTCCCTGTGCTCTGCGCTGATGGGGCAGAGTTGGGGGTGGCAGTTGCTAAGACAGCCCCTGATAAATTCAGCCCTTGAGGAGCTTTCAGTTAAATAGTGAGTAGTTCCACTCTTGTTTCTCTTTTTACTAAACATCTCTGCTTCTGTGTTCTGTTGCTTCTTTCAGTTTATTTTCAAAAGCAACTGTTTTTATCACCATACTTGTTCTTCTTTTAAGTGAGACTTCTTACAGATTGCAAAGCTATAAGAAGTTTTATTTCCCCCAAAGCACCATATAGTTTCTCTTTGCCTATTAAAAGTGTGTAATGGTTTAAAAAAAAAATGGGACTCGGCAAGCTTCTACCTGAGGGGAAGGGCATCATCCTCCACCTGACAGATTTGTCACATGACTGAAGGAATGAGTGCTCAGTCCATCAAAACCAGTTTTCTGTATTGATTTCCCTAGTTTTGCCTATGTTGGTGCTATTATTTTCTCAGCTTAGCTTGAAAATTGGAGTTATCTTTGAATCTCTTTTTCCTTCACTGCCTATTCCCATGACCAAACCCTTTTTTATCTTTATCCTAAAGTTTCTTGGAGTAAACTTGATCTTTCCATCACTATTTTCGTTAAGACCGTGATCATCTTCCCTGACATCTCACATCTACAAGTCTTTTTTTTAAAAAATATTTTATTAAGGTATGATTGATATACACTCTTATGAAGGTTTCACATGAAAAAACAATGTGGTTACTACATGTACCCATATTATCAAGTCCCCACCCATATTCCAAGGTAGTCACTGTCCATCAGTGTAGTAAGATGCCACAGATCCACTATGTGCCTTCTCTGCTACACTGTTTTCCCCATGATCCCCCACACCATGTGTACTAAACATAATACCCCTCAATCCCCTTCTCCCTCCCTCCCCACCCACCCTTCCACACCCCTCCCCACCCACCCTTCCACACCCCTCCCCTTTGGTAACAACTAGTTCCTCTTGGAGTCTCTAAGTCTGCTGCTATTTTGTTCCTTCAGTTTTGCTTCATTGTTATATTCCACAAATGAGGGAAATCATTTTGCACTTGTCTTTCTCCACCTGGCTTATTTCACTGAGCATAATGTCCTCCAGCTCCATCCATGTTGCAAATGGTAGATTTGTTTCTTTCTTATGGCTGAATAGTATTCCATTGTATGTATGTACCACAATCTTCTTTATCCATACATCTACTGATGGACACTTAGGTTGCTTCCATATCTTGGCTATTGTAAAAAGTGCTGTGATAAACATAGGGGTGCATGTGTCTTTTTGAATCTGAGAAGTTGTATTCTTTGGGTAAATTCCAAGGAATGGGATTCCCGGGTCAAGTGGTATTTCTATTTTTAGTTTTTTGGGGAACCTCCATATTGCTTTCCACAATGGTTGAACTAGCTTACATTCCCACCAGCAGTGTAGGAGGGTTTCCCTTTCTCTGCATCCTTGCCAGCATTTGTTGTTAGTCTTTTCGATGCTGGCCATCCTTACTGGTGTGAGGTGATATCTCATTGTGGTTTTAATTTGCATTTCCCTGATGATAAGTGATGTGCAGTATCTTTTCATGTGTCTGTTGACCATCTGAATTTCTTCTTTGGAGAACTGTCTCTTTATATCCTCTGCCCATTTGTTAATCGGGTTATTTGCTTTTTGGGTGTTGAGGTACGTAAGTTCTTTATATATTTTGGATGTTAACCCCTTGTTTGATATGTCATTTACAAATATATTCTCCCAAACTTTTTGTTCTACTGATGGTGTCCTTTGCCATACAGAAACTTTTTAGTTTGATGTAGTCCCATGAGTTCATTTTTGCTTTGTTTCCCTTGCTTGAGGAGATGCGTTCAGGAAGAAGTTGCTCATACTCATATTCAGGAGATTTTTGCCTATGTTGCCTTCTAAGAGTTTTATGGTTTCATGACTTACATTCAGGTCTTTGATCCATTCTGAGTTTTCTTTTGTGTATGGGGTTAAACAATAATCCAGTTTCATTCTCTTGCATGTAGCTTTCCATTTTGCCAACAC